GCATCGCTGCTTTCTCTTTCTCACTCCGTCTCGTTCGCTGTCACTCATTGCAATCCGGTACTCACATTGACACTCTGACTTCAGTTATCTTTACGCATTCCTCAGCCCTCTTTCCTAGGACCTGCATTGTAGCCATCCCATCACCTCGATTCCTTGTTTCCCTTAATCTCTCGCACTCACCTTGGCTGCTCTGAGTACCGATTTCACTCACCACGAACGCATGTGTCACATCGCTCTCTTCCTTTTTCTCTGTTGTTTTTTGTTTGATCGCGTCTATTGTCGCTGTCGCTATAGTGCAACTGATCAGTTTCCACCCGGTGGACTAAGCCTGCTTGTCTGCATTCTTTTTTAATCTTTCTTGACAACCCAAGCGAACACACCTCGCACGCATTACACACATAGCACACCTACTGTACCAACTCCTTCTCTATTTGCTCTTCTTGTTCTTTCATACCACACAGTCTGATGCCGTGGTCTGTTCTCTTTTATCCCTGCTCTCGCCTGTTTTCTTATTCCTATCTTTGCTGTAATTCCGCTAAGCACCGTCATTTCTGACTGAATTTTACTTCACCCCTGGATCTGGCACCTGGCCTTGACCCTACTCACTCGCGTCCTTCCTGTTTGTCCCCCTGCTCTCCTTCACCACAACGATATCCTATGCTAACTGAGCAAACTTTGCTCATGTCCTACCACGAGCTCCACTCACTCTTCCCTCCACACCGCAGCAACGCGTACGCGCACTCTTTCTCGCTCTCCCCTTCACCATCTCTATCCCCTTCCCCGTCTCCGTCTCCACCGTTGACCCTGGGGTTGTCGGAAGACGACAGTGACATTGGCTCGGAGCCGCCCCTCACTCCGCTGTTCACACCGCCGCCATCACCGTCTATGGATCGTCACCTGCAGACGCTCTTTAGACTGCTTCCCACGTCGTCAGCGCCTTGTAGTATCAAGGACGGCGTATGGACCAGCATTACCTTGGAGGTCGTGAGTGAGTTTGGAGGATATCGGAATGATCAGGATCCCAGCCAGACATTCAGGCTCAGGCAAGGAGAGACAATCTTGCCTCTGGAATGCTGTTTACTATTGGAGGCAGATGGTCAGATTGTCAGCCAACACTCCCTTGATCAGAGTGCTTGTAGCCAAGGTTTTGAACTCGAGTCGCGTGCACTGCAGTCGACTAACTGGCTTGGCCTAGATAGTCTATCCCGACCTGGAATTGGTCCAACAGGCCGAGGGGGACTGGAAATACGGGTATCATCCAAGGAGCCGGGAATGAAAAGGTTTTGGATCAGTATAGGGGCGGCACAGCACGAAGAGTTGGTGCCGTTGGTGCTGGGGCCGATCACACTCTCGTCTGAACGATTGAATGTCCCAGACTCGAAGGATGTTTTACGGCCCATCAGTATCCCTATGCCTTCATCGAGGAACCCTCAGAACTCGCGCATCATGCTGCTCAAAGAGACATGGAACAGTGTACCTCAGGGTCGTGTCTGGGACTCTGCGTTTGTGTTGATGGATATCTTTTCCAGGGAAGTAACGAACAGCTTGAATGGATCTTTGCCTCCTATCTTTGCAGGCAAGCACATCTTGGATCTCAGTGCGGGAACTGGCCTTTTGGGTATTTTCCTGGCCGGTCTGGCACAAGTAGAACTTGAATCGCTATATTCCCGGACAACAAACACAGCGCCACACTGGTTGACCCCCATGCATAATACAGCCAGCATCAAAGTTGCCCGTAACCCGTCGATTATTCCTGTCACGACTATCATTCTGACCGATTTGAAGGACGCGTTGCCACTCATCAGGGTCAACATCACATCGAATCAACGCAGGATAGCGCCAGATGTGAACGTGTTTGAGAAGCAGCTGATGTGGGGGGCCAGCCATCTCTCACACCTGAATGCAGGCGAGCTGGATATTGTAATTGCATCTGATGTAGTCTATGAGGCTGACAGCTTTAATTCGTTGTTGGAGACGTTGTATGGACTTTGTACACCAGGACGGACAACACTGTACCTCGGATACAAACGACGCGGACTTGACGTCGTTAGGGAACGACAATTTTTCGACCAGATAGAAGCCAGATTTACCGTTGAAAAGTCGTTGCAGAGTTTAGGAGTTCAAGTCTGGTGTCTACGCCGTGAGACAAAAAGAGGATGATTAAACTGAAGACGAGCTGACAATATCTCATGTATGGCTGGATGCGGGTGCTTCTTTGTAGTGCGCTGAATTATGTGCATTTTGGTTGAGAATGGAAGTGCAGTGAGGGCTGTCCCTTATTTTTCGGTAGGCAGGCATTGTTTCTACTTGTGCATTCCATTCTCTCCTCGCCAGAGTGGATTTCCTCAGGGAGAATAGAATCTGCATTCCTATTCTGCAAGCGCGTACATGAAACGATTACTCTAGTATTAACACTCCTCCTATAGACACACCCTGCCGGCTTGCTGTCTCTCTGTCTTTCTCACTATTTTCTCTTCTATTTCTTTTATCTTATTTCTTATTTCCGCACTCTGCTAGCCCACTCCATTACCATCCGCCAAAAGCCATGGCTCGCCGACTCATCCTCCATGCACTCTTCCACTCGGTGGCCTCGCTTGGATATATCCCCTTTGCGCTCACCTCCGTCCTCATCTCGTCCTCAACGCCCTTCGTCTCTATCCCCGCCATCGGCATCATCCTTATCGCGTTTGTGCCTCCATTGACCTCGTTCCCAATTCTGTGCTTCTCATACCGATATCTGGAGCGATTCAGCTGTATCTCGTTGACAGCTCAGCGGGCCAGGACCTATATCATACTGGCAGGATCAGGCCTTTGCTTCTTGTTGGCCACACACTTAATGATGGTCCACATACTGGCCAACGGACATAACACGACTTATCACCAAATGGTTCACACGTCCGCAACAGGTGTACCAGTGGGAACAAACAGTATACATGCTCCAATGATGATCGACAACCAGGATTTGGATGAAAAGACGACATCGAATGTTCAAACGGGTGGAGGAGAAGGAAGCAGAGTTCAAACCAAGCTAACAGAGACCCATCTGGACGATTATATGCAGACCATGCCGTTCGCCGTCCCGGATAGCTTATCATGGGCACTAGAAAAGATAGAGTCATGGCCATTACCCTCATTCTTATCGCCTTGGGTCGTCAGTAAACTGCCTGTTCAGGACGGCGAAGAGCAACTACCACAACAAAAACAACAGCGGGTACAGGTCCAGGAGCAGCAGGGGCCTTGCTCAGATAGCGCTGTGAGCGTAAAAACGCTGCACCAAACCCAGAAGCGGGATGTTCCTGCCGAAAGACCACCACTGTTTAAATCCCTATTGCCTTCACATCTCATGAATCCTCCCAAGGGTGCTGCTGCATTTGATATTGCACAACCTGAAGAGGTCCCTCAGGAGCATTGGCAGCAGCAACAGGAACAACAACTGCGGGTAAAACGCGATATCCCGTCTCAGCGACAGCTGCAACAGAAGCCGGAGCCATTCCTTGTCACAGAACAGCCATTACCAGCAGATGAGTTGGGTGATGGCACTCCATTTTTTGATATACCAGTTTCTGCATCCATCTCTGCTCCACGAGTTGACGCCTCAACACCATCATCGACAATACCGATTATTGCTGATGAGCATTCTAATGATCATCACTTTGGTCAAGCACAACAACCTTTTCTCACCACGATCACTGTCGCTTCAGAACCGCCGCTCCACCTCAATAACAATATCAATATGAATACCACAAAGTCATCTCGCGCCAACGCACTCTTCTATCACTCTGGTTTTAATGATTCCATCGGCTACAACCTGATAGGCCTCCATTGGATGATTTATATAGTCTCTCAACTCTTCCTAGTCTTTCTTTTATTCATGCTCTTCCTGGGCGTCTTGATCTTGACAGAGTACATCCTTGAGCAGGAAGATGAAAACTTTGTGAACCTCAAATACCTGTACTTGGCCCGAGTTGTTGGCATTGCTTCGGCTACGATCATGAGCGCTGTGCATGGCTCGATATTGAGTGGATACGTCCTCTTGGATGGACAGACCGATTGGATAGCCAAGGCCACCGTTGCGACCACTTTTGTGTACTGGAGTAGCATGGTTTGGATCATGAATCGCGTTACAGGGCCCTTGCCATACTAGTAAAGGAAAGAAGAAGAAATAAAAATAAAAATAAAAAAACCAGCATCTTAGAGCAAACACAAAGCATTGCAAACAACAAATGCGACAACTATATACATTCACAAAAAAAAAACTTTGAACAGAATGTCATAGGCATGCAGCGATCTATATCGGCCTAAACCTTGATTTTTAATCTCGGCGACGAGCTGAGGCTGTCAGGGTTAATGTCCTGCGCGTGTTCTTAAAAAAAAAAAAAAAAAGATTATAGACAACATCCCTATAGTGCAACACTTCTACTAAGTCGAGAAAAGCCAGTAATACATCTCGTCGTAGCATAATTCATGCTTCAGGATGTTTGCAGGCTCACTTTCTGCTAGCAAACACACACTCAAAGAACGGTAGAAAAAAAAAAAGGGGTTAATCTATTGGACAACCCGGGTTGCTCAAATTATCTTACAACCCATGCTCCATTTCCGTGTTAAGTCCATGTAACCCATCTTTTGCCTTCTAATCTCCACATTGCCTTGTTTTTGTAACAAACACTCGCATATGCGCTCAACTGGTTGCTAGCCCCCCTGCAGTCCGCTTCATGAAGCTTACGCCTCTTGTCGTCATCAACACGGCTTGCAGATAGCTAAAAAGTGTCATATTCAACAATAGTGCCTCAATGATCACCTTCAAGGACATACTAACAGTGCTCAAAGGGAGAGTGAAGGAAAACAAGTCTTCCCAAAGAGTTTCGCCTCTTCTTCGTGTTTTTACCTCAAAAACAGAAAAAGTGGGTCACATGAACTTAGTACGGAAAGCCGAGGGGTTGTCAAAAGATTAAAGATTCCCGACATCCAGGTTGGTGCCTGGGGCCCCAGAGACAAAAGAATGTCCGCTGTGAGGATCGAACTCACGACCTTCAGATTATGAGACTGACGCTCTGCCGGCTGAGCTAAACAGACATTGTGTTTGTCCGTTTCTTCTAGAAAGTTATATATCACAAGTTTCACTCACAGCTAATTTGCCACCAACTGCTGCACTTTGAGTCACGTGACCCATATGAGCCTATCTTTCCTTCGTACCACGTACCGAGCGCTTACTCAAAACTCGAAAAACGTCAATTACTGCTGAGATAGAGGCCGCCATCCCGGCTCCTATACCTAGCAGAGTTCCCACAACCAATCCGCATCTTCCCATACCTTTTTTTGTGAATTTGGTCGCAAATTGAGTCCTCATCTCCCTCATTTGCAACTGAGACGCATTAGGTTTACACTTCGCCACCACCGCCTACGAACTGAGTCCCTGTCAGTTAGTGGCAACCAACACGGCTTCAATTGAGTGCAGGTCCCCTCCCCCACACTCCACCACAACATCCATCCATAACAAAAAAAAAAAAAAAAAAAAAAAAAAATCAAAAAAAAAATCAATACACCAGCACCAGTTGGCCCCGCCGTCGCATACCCCCACCCCACATAACAGCACCCTACAGCACTCGCAACAATGCAGCCCAAGATCGCATTTTTCGCCAACCGCCCGGCCCCCTCGGAACCCAATGACACCGATATGGGTGACACTGGCAGCGACTCTGCCCCCGCCGACTCCATGTCAGACACCTCTCAGGAGATTGACTGC